TGGCTCAACTCCTGCCAATATTAAACCCACCCCAACATTCACACTCAAGCCGGCAATATAGTCCATGGACCCTATGTCCATCCAAGTCCACTGGATTTTTATCCATCAAAACCCACCCGCTTAAATTTTTGGGTTTGGACGGATATGGACAAAAGTTAAAGTGGATGGGTAGAGGTAGTCCAAATTAACCCGTCGGGTACCCAAAATTTGGATAAAAATTACCCACACAGTACTTTCTTCACACTTCGTCAAATCCCTTCAAAATTCAAATCTATCGATCTCCGATTGAATTCATTTTCTCCGGTGACCTCAAAGCAGTTTTCCCAGCGTTTGTTAAACCCTTTTCAAATTCGTCTTACACCCTCTTAAACCCTTCTCATTTCTCACACAATCTCCCTCAATTTGCACGTATTCTCATCACTCCAAACACCCTTCCCTCATTCCTACGGTCTTCGTTTCACTCTTCTTTCTCTGTAACCACCCCAGATCGGCCCCGCTGCGGCAATTATTCTTCGAAGAGGATTAACTATTGATTTTTCGGCTGTCCAAACCCATTTATTCATCCCTTAATTTCTTGGATCTTTGTTTTGACCCACCTATTTGACCTCTGCAACTCCCTATACTAGATGGAAGAGTTATTGTAGATCTGGGCGGGTCGATGAGTTTGGAGGTGAAATTCGATACTATCGAACTCCTAGCGTAGATTCGAAGTTACAAAAGCTCTTATTTGGGTCGGGTTCCCCTCGCTCGGATCTCCCCTGCTGCTTGTGCTCTCTCCCTTCAATTTTAACTTTTTTTTGTGGGGTTCCTTCAATAGAGGTAAAAAGAGAAGCAAAATTATACACTTTTTGTTTGTTTAAGTGTTCCATTTTAGTGTTATCGTTATTTTATTGAAACCCTTTTGCTCAATTCTTGATATTATCGTGCATTTGCCATTAGTTTTATGCTGAGTTAAGATCAACGAATAAAAGAAAAAGTAATTATTCTTAAAGCCACATTTGATGTGAATACTGATGTATTAGTACCACTGTTTCCCACATTGGTCGGGTGTGTTTTTCTCTCTTCTACAGTATATAGTTGTTGATATGGATGGCTATCCCCTGGTATTTATTAGTACAAATTTTGGTTGCATAAAATCATTTCGCACAATTAATTTGTACGTAGGAAGTCTAGCAGAGTGTGCCAATAATGTAGTCAATTTATTGTGCGTAGTCGTAGGTCAGTGAATGTGTTATTTCAATTTCTTAAAAGTCTGCAAGAGTCTTCATTCTGATTACTGAATGCACATTTTGTATTTTATGTGTAGCTACTGTTAGGGTAAAAAGGAACAAGGAGCATTGGCAATTTGTATGATACAGGGGCAATACCAATCTGATTGTAATGGAAGAGAACGAGAGTTTGGATGAGGAGATGGGCGATGAAGTCTCTAGTAACTCATCAAAAAGAATCCGGACGTCGAGAGTTTGGGAGGTCTTTGAGAGAAGGCCTATGGATGAAGATGGGAGAATAAGAGCCAAGTGTTGCAATTGTACTAAACTTTTAGTAGCTGACTCAGGAACAAGTAATATGAGCCGCCATATAGTGACTTGTCTTGGCAAAGAAGGAAAGAGTTCCAGCCGCTATCCTGTTATGGATCAAAAGGAGTTTCGTGATGTTCTTTCTTAGTCAATTCTGAGGCATAATTACCCTTTGAGTGTGGTAGAACATGAAGGGACTAGAGAAGTGTAGAAGTTCTTGAATCCAACAGTGAGCAAAATCTCAAGAAATACTGCAAAGGCGGATCTTCTACAAATCTACAACTTAAAGAAAGAAAAGTTAAAAAAAGAGTTAGAGTTAGTTCCCGGTAGGATTTGTTTGCCTTCCGATCTGTGGACATCTCGCACGAGTGATGGATATATGTGCGTGACGGCATATTATGTGGATAGGCAATGGAAGCTACAGAAGAAAATCTTGATTTTTCGGCATCGCCCCACACGGGCGATCTTTTGGGTGATTATTTGCTTCAGTTTTTGGTCGAATGGGGTATAGACAGAAAAGTCTTTTCCATCACTCTGGATAATGCTTCGAATAATAAAGGGATGGTGAAATGTTTAAAAGGATACATTGGAGAAACTAATTCGTTGATTGCAGATGGTAATTATATTCATGTTCGTTGTGCTGCTCACATACTTAATTTGATAGTGCAGGATGGTTTGAAGAGTGTTAATGTTGCCCTAACTAAGATCAGAGAGTGTGTGAAGTATGTGAAAGGATCTGAGGCTAGAAAGCAACTGTTTGCTAAATGTGTGAGACTTGCGGGGTTAAAATCTAATTTGCAGTTGAAACAGGATGTGGTAGCACGCTGGAATTCTACCTACTTAATGCTAGAGAGTGCTTTGGAGCATCGAATGGCTTTTTTCCATTTACAAGCTCAGGATTCAATGTTTAAGGCATGCAACTTCTTTCCTAGCAGGGCTGAATGGAGTCACATTGAAAAATTGACTGAAATGTTAGCTCCGTTTTATGAAATCACAACACTGTTTTCTGGTTCAAGTTATCCCACTGCGAATTTCTATTTTCCAAGTGTAAGGAAGATTCAACAGGTTATTGAGAGCAACTTGACGAACCAAGATAAGTTTCTTCACACTATGGCAACTCAAATGTACATGAAATTTGAAAAATACTGGGAGTGCTATAGTATTGTTTTGTCGATGGCCGTTATTTTGGATCCTCGTTTCAAGCTTGAACATGTGAAGGCGGTTTTTGAATTTCTTGATCCTATTACGGCTGAGATAAAATGGAAAAATGTTGAGGCTAAGTTAAGGGGGTTATTCATGGATTACACGGTGATGCAACTAATCAGTCCGGCTAGGACTTCAACATCTTCATCAGATTCTGAGGCCATTAATGAGTGTCAACGAAGACTTGACAAGATGGATTTGGTATGTGCTTTTTATATGTTAAAAAACCTATTTACAATTTTACATGTTGCATTGATATGATATATATATATATATATCATAATTTGGTTATCTCTATTTGCAGGAGTTTCATCAATATGAGAGTCAAAGAAATATTCAATCAAACTTGTCTCAGTTGGATATTTATCTAAATGAATCAGTGTTGCCTAGAGATGAGAAGTTGGATGTTCTTGAGTATTGGAAATCAAACAAAAACAAGTGGCCAGCACTGTCATGTATGGCTCGAGATGTTTTGAGCATACCAATCACAACCGTCGCATCAGAATCAGCATTCAGCGCCGGGGGGCGAATTTTGGATCCGTTTCGTTGTTCTACATCACCAAAGATGGTTGAGGCACGTGTTTGCACTAGGGATTGGCTCTTTGGTTGTACATGTATCATCCGGGTTTTGTATTTCTTGATTTTTCTTTGTTCTTATGAATGATACAATATGTTTTACCCACTCGAATAATGACAGTTCATGGAGAGAAAGAAGATGATGACGAGGATGATACCTTAGTTGATATACAAAATTGGATTTCTCAGTCAAGTATGGAAGATGACACACCTTAGTTAGGCCTATAAACTTAGTGATGGAATCTAATGACTATTGTACATATTGCAAAACTAAACAGGTAAACGTCTGAGTTGTGTGTTAGATGATGATGATGATGATGATTAGTTTAGAAGTCAATAGCCACTAATATCAGTTGGTAGGCTAGGTAGGAAAAAGCACAAGTTGGAAGGTATCGTTGTTCTGTTGGGACCATGAACCAACAGTGGCTAGAGAATATTGAAGATGATGGACTGGAGTCTGGACCAACAACACCCTGATTGATGCCGCCTGCTTTTTTTTTTTTTTGTGAGTTATGTTCTGTTTTGTTTTTTGATCACTTTTTTGTTCTTTGTTCTTTGTTGGGTGCTTCTTTTTTTTTCTCTTCCTTTTGAACACAACATCTCGCAACATGCACAATAGGTATGAATGGGGCGGGTTTCTGTTGTTAATTATCATCACCGAAATCACTGGCAGAGAACTTGGGGGTTCTATTCACTTTAAACTTTTCTGTATTATGTTGTTCTCTTAGAAGAAGACTAGAACTAGCAAGATGTACTTGGTAATATCAATATTTATTTTATATTGTATGATTAACGACAGATTAAGGATCGAATTTCTTCAGTACAGATTAAGGATAGGCACAAAAAAAAAAAAATCTTTGTGCTGAAACATTTGCAATAAAATGATCCTGGCCTATTCTAAATGGAATTTTCTGCTTGTGATGCCTTGTTCTGCTCTTAAAAGAAACTTTAGACTAGGCAGGCAAGTAGTGAGAGCTAAATGGTTGATATGGGTAATGGGCTTGCTCTATTTACCCTTACTCAACGTTCTAACATATCTTTCTTGGTGTTGAACATCAATTTCTGCATTATAGTAACATATCCTATGAGCTTTTACTTTGCTCATGCCTTTTTTTCATCATTGAAATCAATGTAGTAACACTGTGAAGATTCTCATTAACTTATGTAACACTGGTTATGTTCAAGTCTCAATCATTTTCTATTCTTGTAGGGGGCAGCAGGACAACCAAAGCTATTGGTTCCTGTCATCTTGGTCATGTCTACAATAGATGGAATGAGTGAGTCTACATTGCCAACCGTTCACTTCCTAGAGACCGAGATGAGAGGAACCTGACATTACCTTTGTCGTATGATCTGTGTTGGAGTTTTTATGGTCTTGATATAATTTAGGACACAAGTCACAAAACAATGATTACTAGTACCTTTTAAATTGTCTTTTTTTGAATTCAAATAATGATGTCAAGGAGGCGGAGTATAATTTGTATAATTTGTATTTACGGCTATCTATAGATACCCATGGATACCCGTGGGTATTTAATATCCATCCATTTAAGTCTTATTAAATTTAATGGATATGGATGGGTATTTATCCATTAAGCTAATAACCATAAAAAACTAATCTCAAGTAGTCCAAATCCGCCCGTTTGCCGGCTTGTTCACACCATTCAAAGTTTTTGACATTGCAAATAAATTATTGATGGAGATGCTCTTATACATAATTTGGATTAGACTCATTATTGGAACTAAATTATTTCTGAAAATGGTAAAATAAAAACATTTACGGTTGCGTTTTTATTCTTTTACTATGGTTTTGCCTTTTGACGGTTTGCTGAAAGGATAGAGCTCAAAAAATTGCACTATCGACCACTGTATTTTTGGTCCTTGGCTTGTTCTTCCACAACAATAGAAAAACTAGATTGAAGTTGAAACACCTCAAGCTCTTCTGTTACTCGTAGGCTTCGGACTCGGTGTTTGCCATCGTAGAGGTATAAATGCATTTCTTCTCTTTGCTCTGCATGTTCAGCTATTTGTGTATGATGTTTATACACTTCAAAAATTGATAAAACCGATTGCGCGGGAGATGTTCGATGTAATGCTTAAATGAGTTACTTTTGTTGTTTGTTCCAAATTGATAAATTCTTTTCGTTTGGATATACTAGTTAAATGGATGTTATGTGGTTGTGACGAAATATGTCTGTGAATTGTGTACAATAAAAAGGTAATTTTGTTCTTCCTCACTGAAGTTTGAGATTTTGTTTTGTGATAATTTTCGATTCTCAAATTTGAAGTTCCATTGGCTTTTATGGCTTACTGGTCTTGTGTTCGATGAATTGTTTCATGTTTTGTTTGGGATCTTAGGGGTCGGCATGTTGAGTTCATAGGAATATCTTTTGGACTTAAGAAAAATTTCTTGTCAATAAGTGTTCTTTGCCCTTGCTGATTCTACTTTTCTCTTCGAGTCCCTAGGGATTTTTGAAAATCATAAGTTACATTTGATGGAGTAATGATGATACGGAATTTTCATGATAAATTATGTCTTGCAAGAATGACCTTGACCAGGAGGTACTGTTCCAGAGAGTCGTCCCGTGACTCGTCTGATGTAATAAAGCGTGTGTGTAAGGTTATGATGTCTTGCCCTAAGTTGGGGCTTGACATTGTGTTTGATCAGAAGGGTATTAGGGTTTCACCAGAAGAAGTTGAGGAAGTTCTCAAGAAGTTTACAAATGCTGGAATGATTGCATATCGGTTTTTCGAATGGGCTGGCAAACAACGAAATTATGAGCACAGTATCAGGGCTTACCACACTATGATTGAATCCTTAGCCAAAATAAGGCAGTACCAGCTAATGTGGGATCTTGTAAATGCTATGAGAAGTAAGAATATGCTTAACATTGAGACATTCTGTATAATCATGAGGAAGTATGCTAGGGCCCAGAAGCTGGAGGAGGCGGTATACACCTTTAATGTCATGAAGAAGTATGAGATGCCCCCAAATTTAGCAGCCTTTAATGGCTTGTTGAGTGCTCTGTGCAAGTCTAAGAATGTTAGGAAGGCTCAGGAAATTTTTGACAGTATGAAAAATCAATTTGCACCTGATGCAAAAACTTACAGCATATTGATCGAGGGATGGGGTAGAGCTCCGAATCTGCCTAAGGCAAGGGAAGTATATGGGGAAATGATCGAGTCTGGCTGCAATCCTGACATTGTGACTTACGGCATTATGGTTGATATACTGTGCAAGGCTGCCAGGGTTGATGAAGCCATTGAGATAGTTAAGGAGATGGAATTCACTGGTTGCAGGCCAACATCATTCATTTACAGTGTTTTGATTCATACATATGGGATAGACAATCGAATTGAAGATGCTGTAGATACATTCCTTGATATGGAAAGGAGCGGGGTGGAGGCTGATGTGGCTGTTTATAATTCCTTAATTAGTGCTTTCTGCAAAGTAAACAAGTTGCAGAATGCTTATAGGGTTTTGGCTGAGATGGAGAAAAAACGGGTTTCTCCTAATTCAAGGACTTGCAATATCATTTTAAACTACTTAATTGGTCGTGGGGAAACTGATGAAGCTTATGAAGTTTTCCGCAAGATGATTAAAGTTTGTGACCCTGATGCTGACACATACACGATGATGATAAAGATGTTCTGTGAAAGGGATGAGCTCCAAAGGGCTTTAAAGGTATGGGAATATATGCAAAAGAAGCGGTTTGTTCCAAGCATGCACACATTTTCTGCCCTTATCAATGGATTATGTGATAAATCCGATACATCAAGGGCATGTGTGTTAATGGAAGAGATGATAGAGAAAGGAATTCGTCCAGGAAGAGCACTCTTCGGTAAATTAAGACTATTACTTCTCAAGGAAGGGAGAGAAGATGTTCTTGAATTTCTCCAAGAGAAAATGAACCTCTTGGTCAAGGAACCCTTGTGTGATTGACAATAAGGATAGTGAGTTGAGTTAAAGATCATGATATATGTCCTAGAAGGAATCATACCTTTGAAGGTTGGAATTTAAAAAACTTCCTCTGGGCAAACTGCTATTCTAAACTTGCAACGTCGTCTATCTATTACTTTTGACATTGTTAAAACGTTACTCATCAATAAACAACCGTGGCTGATAGGATTTTCATCAAACCTTTATTCTGACTTCTCCCTTTCCATTCTGGACGCAGGAGATATCTGTTTAGAAAAAAATTTATAATCTTTGAAGTTTATAGTTCTCTTTTAAAGTGTGTTTTGTATTGTGTAGTTCCTGAATTCTTGCTCCTGAATTCTTGCTATTTCCTCAAATTCAGGAAGTGCACATAAAATTACAAGGCCAATTCAGAATTTTGAGGCCCTATTTATAAGGTAAAGATTTCTATTCGTAATGGGTTATTTATTACTTGGAGGGAATTAGTATCTGATGTTTGATATGTTCTGCGTCAAAGTTTTATAATACTTTTGCACTTCTATCAACAAGCTCTGGTGACTGCTATTAATTGCAGGTAAATTCACATGAATGAAGTTGTCTTCTTGGAGATGATTTTGGTTGTTGAATATGTAGGCCTCACTGTTTTCTTTGCGTAAACTTCAAAGAAGTAAAGCCTTCCATGTTCAGTTATGCCCGTGTTCCTCTCTTAGCTCGTAAGCTTCAATATATCAAATACTTCCACAGGCACCCTATCCTGTCTGCTGCTAGCACCACTACAAGATGTTGCTCGCAACTGGACCTCCTCTCTCTCTGCACTACTTCTCGGTCTCTCAACCAAACAAAAGAAGCCCACGCTATGTGCATCCATCATGGCTTTCTTCCTTCCTCGATCTCCATATGTGCAGCTCTTATTCACCGTTATGGCACTTTTGAGGCTGAGCCAGCAACCCTTTACTCTCTTTTTTATCAAACACTTTCTTCTTTCCCTTCTTGCACATTCTTATATAATGTTTTTATACGTGCCCATTCTGGTTTGGGTTTGTATTTTCAAGGCTTGAAAGTTTATAATGAGATGGTGAGGAATGATGTCAAGACTGATGATCACACTTACCCTTTCGTGCTCAAACATTGTTCTGAATGGCGTGATTTTCAAAAGGGTGTGGAAGTTCATGGAACTGTAATCAAAGTGGGACTAGATCAGGACACCTTTGTCAGTAATACTCTCATGTTATTCTATGGGAATTGTGGAGATGTGAAGGATGTGGAACAGGTGTTTCATGAAATGCCCAGGAGGGATGTTGTCTCCTGGAATACGATGATTTGTTTTTGTTCTGATAATGCTTGTGATGTAGAAGTTTTAGACTTGTTTAAGAACATGTTTCTACAATCTGAATTTCGACCCAATATTGTCAGTCTGGTTAGCGTTCTGCCTGTGTGTGCACGGAGGAGTGATGGCACCATGACAAGTGCCATACATGGTTACAGTGTGAAGGTTGGGTTGGTTTCTCAGGTGAGAGTTGGAAATGCCTTAGTCGATGCTTATGGTAAGTGTAGGAAGGCTGAGGCTACTGTTCGGGTTTTTGATGAGATGGTAGAAAAGAATGAAGCTTCTTGGAACACAGTTATTACCAGCTTTGCCTATATAGAGTGTTACAGAGATGCATTGGAAAGTTTCAGATTTATGATTGGCGAAAATGTGAAGTTGAATCCTATTGCCCTTTCGAGTATCCTCCCTGTGTTGGTTGAACTGGAGCTTTTCTCTAAAGGAAGAGAAGTGCATTGTTTTAGTATAAGAACGGGTATGGATCGCGACATTTTTGTTGCCAATTCGCTGATTCATATGTATGCAAAAGCAGGCCGTTCAATGAATGCTTCCAGTGTGTTCTCTATGATGGATTTGAAAAATATTATTTCTTGGAATACCATGGTTGCTAATTTTGCCCTAAATGGACTTGAATTAGAGGCAATTGACTGTGTCAGACAAATGCAAGTTCATGGGCAGATTCCTACTTCAATCACCTACACAAATGTTCTTCCAGCCTGTGCCCGAATTGGATCGCTTCGGCTTGGAAAGGAAATTCATGGCATGTTGATCCGTGGGGGGTCTCACTTTGATCTGTACGTCTCAAATGCTTTGACAGATATGTATGCAAAATGCGGTTCTCTCAAACTTGCTGAGAATGTGTTTGTTAGCTCACGCAGGGATGTGGTTTCTTACAACATACTAATTCAAGGGTATTCACAAACAGATGACTGCTCTAATTCGCTGCTTCTCTTCTCAGATATGTTGTCTCAAGGTATCAAGCATAATGTTGTTTCGTACATGGCTGTTCTTTCAGCTTGCTCCCATATTTCAGCAATCAAACAAGGAAAGGAAATCCATGCATTTGCTGTCAGAAGGTTGTTTCATGAGCAACTTTTTGTTGCAAATTCGCTTTTGGATATGTACACTAAATCTGCTCGAATTGATCTTGCTAAGAGGGTCTTTGATAGAATCCCTGTGAAAGATTCTGCCTCGTGGAATACCATGATTATGGGTTTTGGGATGCTTGGTGAATTGGATACAGCTCTCAATCTATTTAATGCTATGAAGAAGGATGGAGTTGAATATAATGATATTTCATATATAGCCATTTTGTCTGCTTGTAGTCATGGAGGGCTGGTAGGACAGGGACGCAAAATTTTTGATAGCATGATTTCTCATGGTGTTGAGCCGTCCCATATGCACTATGCATGCATGGTTGACCTTCTTGGTCGTTCTGGTCTCATAGGAGAGGCGGTAGAGCTTGTGAAAAGCCTCCCGTTTGAAGGAGATGCTAATGTATGGGGAAGTTTACTGGGAGCGTGTAGACTCCATGGCGAAGTGGAGTTAGGTTGTTGGGCAGCGGAACATCTTTTAAAGCTAAATACAGATCATTCAGGTTACCATACACTCGTCTCCAACATGTATGCAGAAGCAGGCAAATGGGAAGAGGCAGATAGAGTCAGGGAACTGATGAGGTTGAGAGGATTGAAGAAAAATCCAGGATATAGTTGGGTTCAGAATGAAGACCAAGTTTACGACACTTTCTTCGCTGGGGAAAGATTGAAGGTGTTGCAAGCATAGTTCGTTTGTAGATCTCATAAAGCCCAGAAAAACCAGGTGATGACCTATAAAAAACACCTTATAGATATAAGTTAGATGATGAGTTTCACATGTGGAGAATCAAGAACATTTGCACCAGTATTTACTCATGAATGATGGTGAAAATATGCTTGTGATTAGAATCATTAGATCTCAGTATCAGCTCAATCTCTGACTGTCTAGGTTGTTCTATTAAAATGCCAATGATTTCAAGTTGAAAACTTCACTTAATATAAAAATGAATAAATAGAGAAAGTAGAAGTAAAATGAAAATATAATGTGTTACCGCAAAATTATTATCCCGTTTAAATTTTCACATTTTAGTACAAATTATACTAAGAATAAAAAAATCCAACCCTGACATTATTTTGGGACAGAGGATACAGTGTTTTGACAAATCTTTCGCTAGTTAGGTGGCTATTGATCAAAATCTCTGTTCAAAAAAGAAAAAGAAAAAAAATCAAAATCTCTGTTTTCTGAATTGTTTGGTATACCCACTCTTTTTCTTTTTTTTTTGTAGGATTGCAACATTCTTCAGTTTGGGACTTTCTCGGACAATTCTAAAAAGTCGACTAAGTGTATGATCGAATAAGTGTTAAGCCAGATATTTATCTGTTTAAAGAGTCAACTTAATCGAGTTCAACTTACACCAATACATGTCATTTGCAAAAAGCCAAAAACCATCCAAACATTTGAAAATGTGCTTTTGTTTTCGACATCTCTGTGTTCTCCCCAAAGAAACTTTTTTCACACAGGATGGTGGGATAAATGAATAGGTTTAATGCAAGTCATGCACAAATTATGCTTAATGCCAATACCTAATCACCATCAGAAGTTAATCAATTTGATCTAAAGTACTAGTTTATAATAGCCACAAACACTAATGAAGAGTCAATTAACCAGACAAACGATCTACAGCCGTGGATGGATAGAGCTCACTACTGCTTCAAATAAGTTCCTTGTGAGTCAACAATAATAGCTAACTTGCCTCAATGTGGGATTGATTCCTCCAACTCAAACTCCTGCACAGTCACCCCCGCAGCAAGGAAGAGGGCATTCTGCAGGCCTTCCAGTGTCGAGCACGCTTTTTCAATTCGCAACGCAAAGCACCACCTCCCTCTCTTCTATCAGTTCTACCAGACAAAATACTGAGCTCGAAAGGTTTCGGAAAAGCTAGAACCATCATCATCATAATCATCAACTGGATCAGCTTGGAAGGTAATGAAATACAGTTTCCGCATTGTCTCGGGATTACAAGACACATAGTCAACAACGTTGGCATACTCCCTGTATTTCCTTCCCCACACAGAACAGAGACCATCATAAAATTAATTACCAACAAACGGAAAAGACGAAATTGATGGTCCACGTTAATTTCCAAGGTACTATTTTTTTGACATTATGAAATTGATGATGATTAATGCCGTAAATTTATATACCGTGGTTCCGTGGGTCGGGCCGGTGTTTTCCAATTAGGATTAGTTTTTCTAATTTCAGATTCTAACAAGTGAAGAAATTTCTTCACTGGCATTACCACAAACTACATTGCCAAGAGCAAAAGAGACCAAGGGAACCCCAGCATCATACAAACTGTCTATACACAAAAACACTTGTTGTTGGAGTTATTTTCAATATATTATAGGGACACAATTAATATGTTGTGCCTATTGGGTGTTTTCAATATATTGTAGAGACACAACTAATAGGGTATGCCTGTGGAATCCATATGAAAAGACATTAACAAAAAGTTATGTCTAAGACCATAACTAAGGATTACGTCCAATCCTTAAGAGTTTCCTCTAACTCTATAAATATAGATCATTTGGATGTGTTTAGTGTACAATGAAATCACCAAATATTTAGAATGTTTTCAATGACATTTCTTATCCTTGTATCAGGTTGTTGGTTCACTAAAATGCATAGTGAAACAACATGATCTCCATTTTATCTCATAAGAAATTCGCCTAGACAATTGCACTGTATAGTGGGCGAATTTAGCCTAAAAGAAAACAAGTTTACTTGTGACTTGGAGACAAAACTTTCTTTTATCCTAACCATAAATTCTTCATCTTATTCTTTGATCTAGTGCAGCCATTGCTGTCCACTATTCTTGAAGTAGAAATCCAACAATCTTTAGAATAAATTTTCCTGTTAAACAATGGTTAGAACTTGAAGAATCAAGCAAGGATATTTTCGTTGCACACGAAAATGGTAGAAATATTGCAGATCATTGGATTTATTGGAAAGGGCAATGATTAGATACAATGGACCTCGTCATCAAAGTAAGATTTATATTTTAGTTGTGAATTGTGACATTCTAAGTTCAAGGTATGTATGTATTTAATAAATACATGAATGTAGTGATGAGATCTATGTCTGAGTGAAATATGGTTATAAAATTCATGAACTTTTGCACGTAAAAGAAATTTACTATGCATTATTGTTGATTGCCCAAATGTGTGGTTTCTATCAAAATAAAATACTTAATTAATGTGATAATTAATTAAGAAAATGTACGTATAAAAGGGTTGATAGAGAATTTAGTCATGTTTTTATCATACTTTGAAATGGAAATGCAAAATTGGCATTTGATATAGCAAAAGTGTTTTGATTGCATGTTATAAATTTTTATAAAGTCGACATCCGTTGGAATTTATTCTGTGTTTTGTTTGGCTTTGTCGACTTGTTGGTCGACTAGAGTAAAGTTAACATAGAAGTTGTCGTTCGTTGATATGTCTGACTATTTGGTTTTGTCGACTTGTTTGTCCATAGAATTAAAGTTGACAGAAAAGTCAACATCCGTTAAAGTGTTTGGCTGTTTGGTCTTGTCGACTTAGTCGTCGCCTGTAGAAAGTCAACAGCAAAGTCAACAACCAAAATCTTAGAAAAATAAAATAAAATAAAATAAATTCTTGTGTGCAGAATTTTTGTGAGAGCATCACATATTAATTATTTGATTTTGGGTTAATCAAATAAAAAACTTTGATGCTAATAAAGTGCTAGTTTGTATTTGTGTTTGTTACATGGAATATTTAATTGCATAATGAATTTGTAATTTATATAATAATTTCATGTGATACATAGCATGCTTCATACAAAAATGCAATCTTTGGTTTTCGAAAATAATAAAACAATTTAAGAGTTAATTATTTTTGTAAAAGTAATGCATTGTTAATGATTAAATTGAATTTGTTGCATGAATTAATAATTTTCATGAAGTGACACAAACTGTTAGTAATTATTAATCTGAAAAGGTGTCGTTAATGAATTATTGTGACTTTTTGAATTTATTTGGATGAAGAGATACACTACAGTGTGTGTCTAGTGAATCTAAATAAAAAGACAATAATGAACGATTGTGTCTAGAGACTCATGGCGAAATAATACAAACTAAAATTTGTGTCTAATCGTGATAAGTATAGAGGCATCAACATAAAGTGATGTATAGTATTTTTACTTGAAAAGACACGAGTCAAAGTCGTGTCAAGTTATCCAAAAGGTAAAGTGAAACCCAAGGGTGTGAATGGAAATGATTTAAATGAAAGGTTATATCTAGTCATTCAAGAAGCACAAACCCAAAGGTGGTTAATGAAAAGATACTAGTTAAACTTGTGTCTTATTTTTGAAAAGTCACATGATATGTTGTTTATATGATATATTATGATATCAACATACATTATGAATATGCCAAGTTATTATTATATGAGGATAATAATATTTTATATGTTGTACATGGCAACTCTAATTTGTGAAATTATTTTTTGACATGAAAGCAAGTAGTGTCGATTTAATATACATGAATCAAACAAATTCATTTTGAAGAAACATTCCAATGACAAATGGGTCATTATATATTTGGATGTAGATGACAAGTTAACTTTTGGTAAAGATAGACTTGGAATAAGTCTTAGAAACTAAAAACTTATTGTCTAGTAAATTTGAGATTGAAGACATGGTCAAAATCAATTCTTGTTTGATAAGGAATTGAGAGAAAGTGTGATACAATCACGGATACTCTGTCTCGCTATATTGAGAAAAATTCCTACAAAAAAAAAAGAAGGTTCAATCATTGAATTGAAAACTTGAGTGATTCCCATAGAACTTATCATATAATATGTTAAGACTTAAAGAAAACTTTTATCTCAAATTAATCTGTACATATAGTTAAAAGTTGATGTGACTTGCATAATTGTATAATTTTAATTTAATTTATTGAATTTAGTATGATGTATGAAAATTGAAATCAAAAGGTCAATTAATGCATATGTTTATAGTTTATATACACGTATTCTAGCATATATGAACTTATGTGTAATGTGGTCAAAATTTGAGCTTGTATAAAATAAAGTATTGCTTCTTGTACACCACTAGAAAGACGTGTTTTTGTTTAAGACATTAAGCAAAATTGTATGTTGTCTGAGTATGGCATTTAGCTAATGGTTAAGGGTAAATTTGTTCAACAGCTTGTGATATATTGATAGAACTCTATATACAAGAGAATCTATAAGCCTTACATATTTTCTTTGGATTAAAAATAAAAACTGAACCTCAATCACTAAGAATTAGAGATTGTCAGTCAATTGTTAAGGTCCCATAACCTCATAAAAAGAAGTTGGGAGAAAGAGATGTTTCATACATTTTCACTGGATATGCACATAATAATCTGGTCTATTGATTTTAACAGATGCTATCTTCAATGAAGATAAGTACACCTTAAGTTTTACAACGGTTAAAAGAAAATGAAAAAAGATAACTTAAACTGACATAATTTTGTGCTATATAGTTTATTAGGTCTCGCACACTACTATATATAATTCATGCCTAACGTTATAACTACTATTCTCTTCATCCGATAATTATTATCCAATATAAATTTTTATTTTTAGTTCAGATTGTACCAAAAGTGAAATATCAAACTGAATAATAATTTTGAGACTAAAGAAGACTTCGTTTGATAAATCCGAACCCCCATCAAACCGTCCCTATCTCTTTAGGTCTAAAAAGAATATCACCATCATTTGTTACGATCAACTTGAGCTTCATTAATTAACGGTTCATCCATTAATTACAGAACTAACTGGATTAATTTAAAACCCGCGTCTGTAGCACTTCCAATAGAAAATTTGATTTGCTTCTTGGGATATGTTTAGGTAGAGAGGAAAGTAGCCGAGTAGACAAGTTTGGTCATGACTTGATCATGGAGAACATATTATTATTACCTCCGTCTCTAAAAAATATTTCACGTTGAATTTTTAAATTTATATTAAAAATAGAACGGAACTCAAAATTCAATGTGGACTATTTTTTTTTTGAGACGGACGAGTATTATTTTTGGACTGAAAATGACTTGCGATCTGTTCCTTTTCAAAAGGAAATCAACATCCTAATGGACTACTTTTCAACATGCCAATGATTAAGAATGAAGTGCTAGTTGAACTACTGTCGGTGGTGCGCGTTCCAAGGTTCCAGTTGACCTCCAAAAGCAAAGTTAATGTTCCAGGCTAGCTAGTTTCGATTTTAATTTGTTAGGTTTTAAACTTTCTATCAAGTATAGATATCTGAAGTAGTAAGAAGCAAAGAAAGTTACTCCTAAGGAAGTTTTCATCTGTACCTTACACAATTAAAGTAATACTTCCTATGTCCAAAAAAGTAGGGCTGTTCTTTTACATAAAACCGACCTGACTCAAACCGAACCGAACTGAACTATTAGTTTGGATCGGTTCGAAAATGGGATAACTTTCTTTTGGATTACTATGGTTCGGTTCGGGTTAAATTTTGAGTCTGAACCGAATTAACCCGAAAAGAACCATTTTGTATCTGATGATGTCATCAAAATATTACGATGATGTTATCTTGTCGGTGCTGGTCACCGGTTGCCGGAAAAATTGATTTTCCGGCAATATCGCCAGAATTTTTGGCCGGAAAAATCAATTTGACGGCGATGTCACCGGAATTTTTGGCTGGAAGTTGTTGTCGGCGGCGGTCGGTGGTGGTTAATGTCGGAAACTATTGAAATTTATTATTATTATTTTTTGTTTAAATTAATTTGGTTCAATTTGGATATTTATTTAACCCGAACCGATCCAAACCATTCTACTCTTTCAAATAATTGATTCGAATTGAACCGAATCGAAACTAAATTTTTGGATCGGTTTCGAGTCGGTTCGGTTCGGATTCGACCCGAACCGTTGGTCAAAATTACCAGCCCTACAAAAAAGTAGTCCACATTGAGTTTTCAAATTTGTACTAAAAATAGTACAAAACTCAAAACTAAATGTGGGCTATTTTTTTGAGACGAAGGAAGTAATAATTAATGAGGGTACTTCATTCTATTTGCATTACTTGGAAAGTAAAACTGTCGGGTGTGTCAACAAAATGGTTGTGGAGTTGATTCGAAAAGGTGTAGTTATTCTTATAAACATTATGGTGAAACTAAAGAAACCGAGACTCTTTGGCAAAATTAGCTTCATCAATGCATTCTGCGTACATTTTTCTTGGAAAAGATTTACCGGTTACTACGAGAGTTCTCGTTAGGCAAGACCAACATTCTTTTACATGCATAAATTAAGAATATGAAAGATGGTGAGAGACAGAGACTCCACTGTGGCGTACCCAATTCACACAAGCAGAAGCATGGATAACAAACGCTATTTCCATCGCCAAACTCAAGAAGAAGATAGAGAATTTGTTGGAATATATTACATAATATATCACAAAACTTTCAAGTTATTATGAAATGAAATGTGCTCTTCTCTTTTCCCAACCAAAAAAAAAAAAGAAGAAGTGAAACTGTCAATATCAAAAATCACTAGGATGAAAGAATTTGATGAGATCTCATAGTAATACCCATAAAACTACAACTTATGAACTAATTATAGAAGTTGTGTGATGTAACATACTTTGTACTATTAAGTGTTCCACTCTCTGTCTTAAAAAAAAAATTTGCATTGAATTTTTGAGATTTGTATTTGTAATAATACAAATTAGAAAATTAAATATTAACTTTTTTTTTGAGATGGAGAGAATACAATCTATATAATCGATATTTAAAAATATTTTTGAAGAATGCAATGGAACTAGCGAGAGTTGGCATGTTCAAAGGTCTTCATCAACCTCTACTACATTAGGTAAGATCGAGCCGATCAAAGTGAATCGCTGAATTGATCCCTTCTTTGACCTCTAAACTTGTTGTCCTTTAAGTTCTTCTTCTTGTTTTTCTTAGGTTTCTTCATTTATTTTGGGTGGGTTTCATTGTATTTCCATAGTACTTTAATTTAAGCTTCCATCAGAACAAGATTTGATGCCGGTGGACAATCAGCATGTACAGATGGCATTGATAAAATGCATGGGTGTCCCTGATTTCTTAGATCCAGAACGAATATTGATCTCGTCAATTACAGGCATAGTAATTAGCTTAAATTGATTCGCTGTTCATCTACTTTTTTAATGCTGGAATTAAATTAAACCCACGATCTGCCGCGCTTTCATTTTTTTTTAAAAGCAAATCATTTGCATCGTCGATATATTTAATTATAGTCACGAAATAAAACCCAAATGACGAGCACGAGGGCCTCTTTTTAAACTTTGCGTTGGATTTAATTAGAATTATTACACTAATATAATAAACTTTGCATTGAATTTAAAATATATTGAAACCCTCGCTGCGTTAGCTCTGTGTCATTCCGTTCCGTCCTTGCACGAATTCTATAAATAGGTCCCCGCGATCTCAGTCTAAAACATACATCAAATTACCACACAGCTTTTTTTACCCCTTAGCTTAAAGCAAGCAAAACCAAGTAATTCAATTTGGGGCTTGATCCCTCATATCCCAAACTAAAATTAATATGGCGGCTACTACCGCTCAACTTTCCTTTTTCGGGCTCTCTCTTCTTCTAGTTTCTGTTTCACTGTCAAGCTGTAGGAAACTTGCGGACCTTCCCACCGGTGGTTTGCCCGGCCTTCCCACGAGTGGTCTTCCCGGCCTTCCCACGGGTGGTCTACCCAACCTTCCAACCGGTGGTCTACCCGGCCTGCCCACCGGTGGTATACCCAACGATCCAAACAATGATCCTTCCGTCCTTCCCACAGGTGGTCTACCTGGCCTGCCCACGAGTGGCCTTCCCGGCCTTCCCACGGGTGGTCTACCTGGCCTGCCCACGATTGGTCTTCCCGGCCTTCCCACGGGTGGTCTATCTGGCCTGCCCACGGGTATACTCAACGTTCCAAACGATTTTCCTTCCAACCTTCCCACGGGTGGTTTACCCGGCCTGCCCACGAGTGGTCTTCCTGACCTTCCCACGGGTGGTCTACCCAACCTTCCAACCGGTGGTCTACCCAGCCTGCCCACCGGTGGTCTTCCCCTTCCCACGGGTGGTTTACCCGGCCTGCCCACCGGTGGTCTTCCCAACCTTCCCACGGTTGGTTTACCCAGCCTACCCACGGGTGTTCTTCCCCTTTCCACGGGTCTACCCAGCTTGCGAACCGGTAGTCTTCCCGGCCTTCCCACTGGTGATCTTCCCAACCTTCCCACAGGTGGTCTCCCTGGTAGTGGCTCTAATGTTCTTCCCGGCCGAAATTAAGGCGGCAACATCTCTTAATGTCGTACCCCACCAAATCTTGATCCAACATTTCTCCAGCATTATTGCAGCGCCTCATGTCGCTAATCATCCTTAATCAGTTTGTTGTTTGTTGATTTGTTTGATTTCTATATATATATATCAACAATAGTACGTTGTTTTTTTTTTTTTTGTGTTTTTTGTTTTTGTTTCTTTTCGCGTGGTTGATATATATTCCTTTCTGGTCGATCGCGTATGGAATGCTACATAGGCAATTTATCCAGTATACCCTGGAACATGTACATCTCCTTCTATTTTTTGCACTATTAATCTTTATTGTATTTTTTTTTAATCAATTCTTTCTATATTTTACAAATTTAGTCCCTGTTACTTTTTCTCTCTCCTCTACAAAAACATCTCTAATCTTAAAATAAACATATCTCATGATCCGTGAAAAATTTGTGAACGAATTATATATGAAATTTATAGTACTCGACGAGATCTATCCATCAAGATTCATATCGAATATTTTTTCCCAACTTAAAAATGATTGAATTTCGGTGGACAGAAATAAAGTGGATATCTATATAGTTTAAGAAAATGGATAACCAATTTATATTAGATTGATGTTGTTATTTTACTTATATCTCTCGATCTGTGAATAATTAAAAAACGAATTACACAAGAAATTTATAGTAATCGACGAGATCTATTCCATATAGTCAATGTTGAATATTTTTTTAACTTTAAATGCATTTAAATTTTACAAGCAGAAATGAAAAAATATGTTTTTTTTTCTTGAAAAATAGTTATCCGTTGTATTCATACTCATTATCCAACCGGTTTAAACTGATTATCGATTTTGTTTGTACTGGGTATTCAATCATATTTTTGACATTCCCTCCTCTTCAAAAAAAAAAGAAGAAAAAAAAGAATCAAATATTTGGATGAGCATTACAAACCATTTGTATAATCATTGAAAATAATTGGATAAGCAGTACAAACTGGTTGGATAATCAGTACAAAAAAATTGGACAATCATTTTCATAAAAGAGCAAGGAGAAAAAAAAGTCGGATAATTATCACCGAGAAGTTGGATAATCAATAGGGTGGATATCAAGTATAAAAAGATGGATATTCAATTGGACAATCATTTTCACAAAAGCGCAAGGAAAAAAAAGTTGGATAACCATCACCAAAAGTTTGATAATCAATAGGATGAAATCTTTGGTAATTTTTGTGGTTGCTTTGTGTTAAAAATTTCAGGAGTTTTTCCTCTGCACATGCATCACTCGTAAGTATACTACTCCCGCAATCTATTTTTTTTTATTATCCAGTAATATTTTGTGTTTATCCATTAGATCTGAATTTGTTATCCATGCCTTGTTGCGTTTGATATGGGGTTGTTTTGGTTGGGCTTGCATGTGGTTGCTTATTCATGCTTTATTGATTATCCATCTTTGTTTTACTGATTATCTACCAGATCTGAACTGGTCATCTATGTTTTCCTGCGTGTGCTATGGGGTGGTTGTCCAAGCTTTGTTTATGGTTATCCATCCTTGCTGTATTGTTTATCCGAAATATCTGAACTGTTTATCGATACCTACCTACGTGTGCTATGGGATGGTTGTCCATGCCATAATTGGTGGTTATCCACCCATTTAATACTGGTTATCTAAAAGGTGTAAACTGGTTATCCATGCTTTTTTTTTTAGTTGTGCTTCTATGTGGCTGCTTGTCCATACATGTTTTGCTGGTTATCCATCTTTGCTATATAACTTATCTGCAAGATCTGAACTGGTTGTCCATGTTTTTTTTTTTGGTTGGCATTACGTGTGGCTGCTTGTCCATGCTTTATTTGTTGGTTATCCATCTTTTCTTAACTGCTTATCCAGCAGTTCTGAACTGGTTGACCATGCGTTCGTGCGTGTGCTGTGGGATGGTTTGGCTGACCTTGTGTGTGGTTGATCTGAATTGGTTATCCATCTTTGATGTACTTGTTATCCATGTTTGTTTTTGTACTGGATATCCTGGATACAGACTCATTATGGGCAATTTATGGATATCTTGGATACGGACTCATAATGGGCAAAAAAATTGGACAATTATTTTCATAAAAGAGCAAGGAAAAGAAAAGTTGGATAACCATCGCCAAGAAGTTGGATAATCAATAGGGTGGATATCCAGTTTAAGAAGATGGATAACCAACTTATTTTAAATTAGTTATCCATTGTGTTCATGCTGATTATCCAACCAGTTTGAATTGGTTATCCATTTTGTTTGTACTGGATATCCATTTGGTTTGTATGCCTATCCAACTTGTTTTATAATTGTAATCCAACTTGTTTGTACTGGATATTTATCCAATTTGTTTGTACTGGATATTCATATATTTGGTTTGTATGCCTATCCAAATTATGCGTACTGGTTATCCGACAGATTTATATGCTTATCCAAATTATTTGTACTGGTTATCTAATCTTTTTTTTTTGTTTGGAAAAAATGATTGTCCAACACGCTAATACTGGTTATCCATTTTGTTTATGCTGCTTATCCAATCATTTTTTTCATTGAAACACGGTTATCCAATGTGTTCGTAGTGATTATCCAATCACTTTGTATTGGTTATCCAATTATTTTTACTGCTTGTCCAAATAAGTTTGTATTGTTTGTCCAACTATTTTTTTTTTCTTTTGATAAAATGTATATCCAATGTGTTCGTACTGATTATCCGATCTCGTGCTATTGTTTCTCAAGCTATTTTTTTTTATTTTTATGAAAATACTAGTCTGATATGTTTGTACTTGTTATCCAACTAATCGGTATTGCTTATCCAACCTCGTTTTTTCTTAAAATGGTTATCCATGGTGTTCATACTAATTATCCGACCGGTTTGAACTGATTATCCATTTCGTTTGTACTGGATGTCCAATCTTTTTGTTTTTTGGAAAATCATTTCCGAATGTGCTAACAAATTGGTTATCCATCTTCTTACATTGGATATCCACCCAATTTCTGTCCTTCAGAATTTAATCATTTTTAAGTCCGAAAAAATATTTCATAAAGATTTTGTTGGATAGATCTCGAAGAGTACAATAAAATTCATGTGTAACACGTTTTCTAATTTTTTTACAGATTTAGCGATGTGCTCGTTTGAATATTAGAGATTTTTTTTGTAGGAGAGAGAAAAAAGTGGTAGGGACTAAACCTGTAAAGTATTAAAAGATTGAAAAAATTACAATAAAGACTCATAATGCAAAAAATAGGAGGGGGCGTATGGTACTCCCGGATATACTGGATACAGACTCGCTACTTAAACATGTGTATATGCAGCAAAGCAAAATTCATTTAAAAAATTTATTTGTTACTCCCTTCTTTCCATATTATATAAAGTATGACTTTAAATTAGAATTAATTATGATGTATTTTCTCTATTTTTTGAGAAATAATTTTTTTTAATTTACTAAAACTGTCTAACAATGATTGATAAAAAAAAAGGATACATTTATAAAAACAAAACTTACAATCGATAATAATAATGATGCCAACGTTGTGTTTCATCATATTCGATAAATCCATATAGATCTACACAATAGTTGTATCACGGACTAGACTTTCAATTTTTCTTTGATTTTTTAATTTATTTTGAATTAATTTATTATTATTTAATTATTATTATATTTTTTAATTACGGAAAAATAAAAGCGGTGCAAAAGACAAAAATACTCCTGCATTTGATGGTCAATTAGACGTAAAGTTAAATTGGAACGTACATAGTCGAAAAATAACATATTTTAGACGAAATGAGACAAAAATGAGCACTTTGAAATGTGGGACGAAAATGATTTTTTGACCAAATGTATAAGACGTTTTCTGTGGTTTAATAGTATATGTTCTAAAATAATGTCCAGTTTGAATTTTGATTTTTAGTACAATTTAATCTAAAAATGAAAATATATTCAAACTAGACAATTATATTGAGAGTGAAAGAGTATCACTATTAAGATTTTATTGGGCAAGCAAAATGAAAAATTATTTTTCTTGAGATCTGAAATCCTATCATCTTTTAGTCAAGATAGATAGCAACGGGGTGAACACCAAAAAACTCAAAATGGGATGGAAAACCAAAAAGGCATTCGAGATAAAATTTTCCATAATCAACCTGATTAACAAGAAAATATATAAGCCGACAGGGTCAAAATCAAACAACCACATATCAGCTTTTAGCATATAAGATAAGGGGGCTTCGGCTAAAAAGATTTAAAAGAATTAATGTGGACAAAAATATTTTACTTTTTTTTGTGTGGACATAAGTAGTTGTCCCGGATTTGGTAAATCTGAGAGTCTAATTAATTGGACTTTCGGATTTTCTAAACCCGATACAATAAATAAAATAAAAATTATATGTTTCCGTTATTTTGCAAAATATGGAAAATAGGGTCAACAGGCGAACAGTGACCTCGGATTTGCGAAATCCGAAAGCTTTTAAAATTTAATATTCCAAAAATGCATAAAAAATGGCGGGCAAATTCAAAATTTAGAACAGTGATTTCGGATTAGCCAAATCCAAGCTTCCTTTCAATTGAAGGGTAATCCGTCCTTGTGGATAAGGTTGTTAAATGTCTTAAATCGGATCGGATAAGGTGACGTACACTCGGATTTAGCTAATTCGAGAGCCCCACAGGAATAGTGTCTCTCGGATTTGGGTAATCCGAGAGATCCACAGGAATAGTAACTCTCGGATTTACCAAAGCCGAATAGCACGTGAGATAAAAATAAAAAGTTGCAGCTCTTCATATCGGGTTTTTCAATTTTTGAGGGTTAGAGAAGGTTGTGGCTGGTGTTCTTTGGAATTTTGGACGCACATTACCGCTAAATGCAACAAGAATCGTTATTCTAACGAGGTTAGTCATTAAACTAATGTTTTTTTTAGTTATTTTGTTGTGTATTTATATTGTTTTGAAGATGGAAGATTGGTAGGGCTTTGGATTGATGATTATGAATATAATATGGTAATGTAGATGCTGTTGTTGAGTTTATAGGTTAGGATTGTTGTTGTTTTAAGAATTGATAGAGGTTAATTTAATTAATTTGGATGGATTTTGTTTGTATGGATAATTGATAGGATTTAAGGATAATTTAATGAGAATTGTTGTTGTTTTTTTTTTCTTTAGGTGAGAATTGTTGTTGTTGTGGTTTTTTTTTTTAGGTGAGAATTGTTGTTGTTTTTTAAGGCGAGAATTGTTTTTTTTTAGGTGAAATTACGATTAATATAGTTAACGATTTTTTGTCCTTTAATAAACAGTTAAAATGTCTATGCA